GCCAACAAATCAACCCTAAGTAAATTAGTTAATTAAAATTTTTATCCATCTTAATTCTAATAACGATCACCTTTTATTGCCTTGCCACCCCCAAACACAATATTTTAAGTTATGAATCTTAAAAGACCATAGAAGTGTTTACCAAAGTGAAAAAGTTATCAGCAAAAAAATAAAAGCAACTCCTTTTAAAAATTAACTATTTCCTTCTTATATAAAACCCTAGTTTTGTTTTGAGATTTGCCTTTTTTAAAAGTGATTATCTAGTCACAAATAAGGAAACTGTGTTTCAAAGCCCCCAAAAAATGGATGTACAGCAACCAGGTCTTCAGAAAGGGGACACACACACACACACACACAAAACAAAACATATAAATGAACTAAAAACACAAGAATAATTTTTCCAAGATTTTTATTACAAAACACATGCTTTTGGTTTTTAAGAACAATCTAACCGTAAGACTGACATAAAATGAAAAGTAAAATTCCTCACAAAACCTTGCCTATTCACTTAAGAGCCCTTCTCCATCTTTCTCCAGTATTCAATGATTGTGTAACCTTTCGAGACATGTTTATGCATCTATATGTACGTCTTTTTTTGTTTTAAACAGAAATTGCAGCATGCTATATGAACAATTAGCTTGTTTTTAAACAAAATATTCAGATCACCTTTTCTTGTCAGTACATATAAATAAATGTACTTCACTTTTTTCATGGTTGCATAGTATTCCGCAAGTACTTTTTAATCAGTTCCCTTCTTTTTTTTTTAATATATTTGTATTGATTTCAGAGAGGAAGGGAGAGGGAAAGAGAAATAGAAACATCAATGATGAGAGAGAATCATTGATTGGCTGCCTCCTGCACGCCCCCTACTGGGGACCGAGCCTGCAACCCAGGCATGTGCCTTTGACCGGAATTGAACCTGGGACCCTTCAGTCCGCAGGCTGATGCTCTATCCACTGAGCCAAACCAGCTAGGGCTCTTCTGATAAAAGTGTAGAATGATTCCAACCTTTTAGAATTGCAAACCTTATAGCAACGGGTATTGCTCACTGTACAGACCAACTCTGTGCAGAAAAATTTCTAGAAATGACTAAAAAATATTGTGCCAAGCAGGGAAGCACCATCTCCTCAATCTATTTGAGTACTGCCTACCCATCTTGTTAGTAATGTGATAGCTGAAGACAGCATGTTATTTTTACTTGTGTTTCTTTATACAAGAGTGAAGATGAGTTAAGTTCAATCATGTGCATTTCTTTGTGAATGTGCTACCCATTTTTCTACTGGGTTATTCATTGGAGTTCTCTGCCAGCCTTTGGTCGAGCATGCTACAAATATTTGCCCCAGTTAGCTGTTTCAGTCCAACAGGAAATTTTTACATATTTCTATGCAATTGCATTTATTTTCCTTTATAATTAAAATTTTAGACCATATTAGGTAAGTCTTTCCCAAGCAAAACTTTGGGGAAACTTTTTAATGTGACTTCAAAATCATCGCTTAAATGATTATCAATAATATTTACATATAAGTTCTAATATGTCATTATTTAACAAAAGTAAGTCAACTACGCGTCCTCTAAACCAGCGGTTCTCAACCTGTGGGTCGCGACCCTTTTGGCAGTAGAACGACCCTTTCACAGGGGTTGCCTAAGACCATCCTGCATATCAGATATTTACATTACAATTCATAACAGTAGCAACATTACAGTTATGAAGTAGCAACGAAAATAATTTTATGGTTGGGTCACAACATGAGGAACTGTATTTAAAAGGCCAGAAGGTTGAAATCCACTGCTCCTGTAATCAGCTAATGGAGAGCTCTGCATCAATGAAACACTACTTACAACTACCATACTGAGAGTGTATTTCCTCATTTTTTTTAAATATATATTTTATTGATTTTTTTAGAGAGAGGAAGGGAGAGGGATAGAGTTAGAAACATCGATGAGAGAGAAACATCGACCAGCTGCCTCCTGCACACCTCCTACTGGGGATGTGCCTGCAACCAAGGTACATGCCCTTGACCGGAATCGAACCTGGGACTCTTCAGTCCGCAGGGTGACGCTCTATCCACTAAGCTAAACCGGTTAGGGCTATTTTTTTTCCCTTTAAATGTCTTCTTAAAACCTAGGAGTTGAAAAATAACTAGCAAGTATGTTCAATTTCTGGGGATGTCTAAATTCTTTGTCCCTCAATCATTAAATAATTTTCAACAGTGTAAGTGAACTAGATTTTCCCTATTGTAATTATAATTTAATCATCTCTACAAAAGTCAATAAATACTCCTTATACAAACTTGTAATTTTGCAATACCAGAAAATCACTTATGATGCTATCAATGCTGTACACTCTGTTGTTGAAGTGAAAAAGAGTTCTACCTCAAATCATAAAATTATAAAATAAGCCTCTTGAGTTAGTATTCCCGTTCAAACCACCACTGAGAGCTAAATTAGATGGTTAATCTAGCTACTCTCTCCATTCTCCATCAAAAACAAAAGAAAGGAAAAAATTCTGGTCGTAAGTTTTCTATCTCAGTACCAGCTGCCAGGCATTTAACAACCTTCCACCTCTAAGCTGACTGGCACAACAAGTAGTACAACCTGGAAGTTAAGAAAATTGGCAGAACTCAGAGGGGGAGAAAAATATTTTCCACAATTTCTGCAGCACTTGTTTAGCACGTATGTGTTTCTAAAGGGGTGGTCAAGTCTTCAAAACCGTAAGCAGCAGCATACTACTTACTTCACAGGAACCAATGCCAACTCCATTCAGTGGTCTCCTTCCCCTTTGGGGACTATTCAAAAAGTTAGTATTTTCTTTTACAACTCGCCCAGGCCTCTTCACTGATGAAAGCAGGCAAAGCCCATGCTGTGTGTCTGTCTCCTAGAGAAGATTGCATCTTTTATTTATCACTCCTTGGCTTTATTTTCACAGTGAATTCCTGGCTTAAATGCAATCAGCCAAGAAACCCTCCCTATGTGCTCTCCTGTCATTCCTCATTGCTTGCAAGCAGAATCAAGCACAGAAGGGGAGAAAGAAAAAAAAAAGCCTCAACGTTGCCAGCCAAGCCATAAAAATTCTCAAACTCTAGTTAGTTATACTGAGGATCCATAGATACCTTCAATCCGTTTCAACCTGGCAGCAGGAAACGAGAAAAAAAAAACAAAAACTTGAAAGTATGTTAATCGGGTTTTAAAAAAAAAAAAAAAAAAGGATAGATGGATGGGTAGCCTCAAAAGTTGAACCCCCTCTATGACAGAAGGATAGGGTGCTGAAACTAGAAAAGGCAACACTAGGGGATGCCTTTGGAAATAAATGACCATGCAGAAAATCACGTTTGCAGATTGCATGAGAATTCAAATTAAGCAGACAGGATTAAAGCAAATCTGAATTCTCTCCTGGAGCCCCTACCGATCCCCACCGAACCCCCAAAGACAAGAATAAAAGGAACTGACTACGGAAAAAAATCATTAAACATAAGAGACAGCGATGCCTCCAAACCTCTCCCCATGCATTAGGTACCGGTTCACCACTACAATTTAAAGTACACAGTACAATATGGGAAGAGCAGGAAATACGCCGTCTGCAACCAGGAGAAAAATATGGGGAGGGGGCTCACTATAGCATTGTTCTCTTCCGTCGGCTCCGACATCCCCATCGCTATGGCTGAAAAAGATACCCGGCCAGAAGAGAAAGAAAAAGAAAAGAAAAAAATCCCTGAGGAGGCCGGGGGGAGACGGAGAAAGCTTTTAAACTCCGTATTTGAGAAAACTCTCCCGGTCTACCAGAGAAAAGAGGGCTGTACAGCTTTAAATCACAAGTCCCTCTCTCGCCTTTGTCAAATACCTTCTACTTTACAAGCCCTGGAAAGAAATAGAGACTCTTTTGTTTGGTTTCCCCTTCTCGGAAGGTGACAGAAAACTGAAAGGGGCACAAATAAACCTGAAAATGAGAACCCAGTGCGGGGTCGTGCCCGGCTGCCGGGCGGCTGCGCCGGCAGGGACGCGGGAGCCGCCGCGGAGCCCCTCGGGCTCGGGCTCGCGCTGGTGCGCCCGCCGGCGGGAGCGCAGAGCCCGTCCCTGCTCCCGCGCGCACCGGGCGCGACCACCGGCCACCCCAGCGCCAACCAAACTCGGGCGGCCACAGCCCCGGGGCACCGCCGCGGCCCCAGAGGAAAGGGAAGCGCCAGCCGCTCCTTCCCGGACTCGCGCCATTTCATTCGGGGCGTCCAGGGGTTAGATGTCCCCTCAGGAGAGACGTTCCCTCAGGAGAGGGGTCCAGCCCGCCGCCCCGCTCCCCACCTCCGGCGCTGCTCCGAGGCAGCAGAGAGGCGGAGGGAGAAGACGTTTAAATCCCCGGTGGCCACGGAGCTCGCCGGGCCGGGCCGGACCGGACGCCGCAGCGACTCCAGCGCGTCGCGGCCGCAGCCCGTCGAAGCCCTGTGAGGAGCGGCCGCCGAGCCGCATGAACATGTCCTCCCTCCCCTCCGGACGCAGGGGCGGGAGGGGAAGAGGAGAAAGAAAGAGGGCGAGCGACAGGCGAGGGGAGAGCGGAGGGAGAGCGGGGAGCGCGGCCGGGCCACCGGCTCGCCCGGCCGGCATTGTCTGCGCGGCCCGCGCCCCCTCCCCCGCCCCGCACGGCCCCGTCACACACCCTCCGCCGGGGCCGGCCGGCCGCGCCTTTGTCCACATCCGCCCCCCAACAAGGCTCGCAGCCCTCCAGGACCTGCTCCCCGGGAGGAGGGCGCCCGACACGCACCCCCCGACCCCAGCGCGGGGCGCGTCCTGCTGATTCATTTCCCACTCGCACCGGCCCGTCCGGGGAGACAGGGGGCGGGGAGGGGCGGGAGGAAACGGGCGCTCGGGAGGACCGTCCGGTCCCGTGAGGGCACCGGGCAGGGTGCGGGCGCCCGCCGGACCGAGGGGCTGCTCGGAGGGGAGCGGGCGGGCGCCCCGCCCCCGAGGGACTGACGGGTGGACAGACGGCCCCGAGGCTGCCCGTGACTCACCGACTTGCAGGACGTTGTCGACGCAGCCACTCTCCAACAGCGCGATGCCCCGGCGGAAGGGCAGCCGGGTCTCGTCGCCGCCGTCCGCCGTCCCGGCCGCCCCCACCGACGGAGCCCCGGCTCCGGCTCCGGCGGCGGCCGTTGAGGTGGCCGCGGGAGAAGACGACGAGCTGCCGCTGCCCGCGCCGCCCGCGCCGCCGCCCGCGCCGGCGGGGCCGCCGCTGTCGTCGCCGGGGCCGCCCGCGGCGCCGCTGCCGGTGTTGAAGGACGAGTACATGCAGATCTCCCGCTCGCTGCGGGGAAAGGACCAGTAGACGATGCGGCGCTGCACCGGCTCCGGGATGCGCTCAAAGCGCTCTTCCACGCGCTGGAACGGCCACTTCTCCGCCACCTTGCGCGCCGCGATGTCCAGCAGCGACTCGGGGCTCTGGGTCTTGCCCGGCGGCAGCAACCCCAGCGCCGCGCCGCCCCCGCACGCCGCCGCCACCGCGCCGCCCGCCCGCGGGCCGGGCCGACAGGCAGAGCTGTAGCCGCCACCCGCTCCGCCGCCGCCGCTGCTGCCTCCGCCGCCGCCGCCCGGCCGGCAGCACAGCCGTTTTGCGGGAGGAGGCTGCTGTCCGCGCTCCGCCATGACCGCGTCGCTTCTAACCCGACAGCGGAAGTGCCGGGACCCTATAAACGGCACAAGGAAGCGCGACACGCACACGCCGCCGCGACGCCACGCTGCCATCTAGGGCCCGCCGCTCCTTGTATGGGCCCAAGAGGTTGGGCCTCCACAGTGACGTCAGGGCTGAGGCGGAGCGCCGATAGGGGGACCTAGGGCCGGGGGCTGGGCTATGCAAATCGCTGGGCTCAAACATAAATAGAGCACTCGGCCGACACGGGGGTAGCGGGGGCGGCGGGGCTGGGCGCTCGCCGGCTGTGAGGTTGTTCGGCCGCTGCGAGGCGGGGGGCGGGGCTCAGGTGGGATTCCCGCGGGAGGGGACGGGCCTCCGGACCTGGCCCAAGGTGGGTGGGTCTCTGCGCCCCCTGCTACTCCACTTCCCTTTCCAATTCCCTGCCTTCTTTTGATGTCCGGCAAGTGAGGACGCGCCTCGTGGGTCACAGCGGGGAGAAGACGGGAAATGGGGGGTGAGCCTGGGCAGAGGTCCTGCTAAGTGGGGGGCGGGGCCCGCGGGCCGAGGCCCCACCCTCCGTCAAAGCCTGCCCGCCGGGGGGAAAAGCCTTTGGGCGGAGGAGGCGCTTTCAAAACAAAGAAATGCGGCGTGGAGCCCAGGGGATGGGGGTGGAGAGGAAGGCGGAGGAGGTGCGGCTGTAGCCGCCGGGCTGCCCGCTTCCCCTCCAGCTAGCCCGGGGGAACTCCCCCTCAACCCCCAGCCAGGGCTGCGGCGCCTGGGAAGAGGGAGGAGGCTGCACTCGGCGGCTGTTTTCCACTTCACTTTTGCAGATCCGGGTAGGGAAGGAGAGCGCCCGCTCCGCTGCCCCGTGTGGCTGCAGCGCACGCGGCTCCGAGCCCAATGTCCGCTCTGTCCTGGTGGCTGGGCTGGGGGCCGAGCCAGCCAAAGTGTCCGAAAACGCGCAGAGCGCTCGGAACCTACCCCGCAACTGGGCGACGGGCGTTCCGAGCGGGCACCGTGGCAGCCCCGCCCTTGCGCTCCCTCATCCCTGCGTGGAGCTGGGGAACTTGAACTGGCTCTCATCACCCCCGCGGCCTCGCCGATAAGACACCGCTACAGTCCCGGGGTGCTCGCACTCGGGATGGAAGGTACACCCGAGCAGTGGATTTAGCAAACACCTTTGTGAGTATACGCCCCACGGGAGCGTGCGCACACATACCCCTCGAGCGCGCGCGCACCACCCAGCCGGCTGCAGACACTGATCCTGGGACGCTTGGCGGCGGAGGGCTGCTGCGAGCGCGTTCAGTGCGCACTTAGACCTGCGCCCCGGCTCGGCACCGGGTGCCGGGCTGCGGCGAGCCAAGGCGCTCCGGACGCACGCCGCGCTCTCAGCAGTCCTGGCGGCGCCGGAACGCCCCATCCTCCCCGGAATAGGCACTTTGGGGAGCAGGCAATCGAAAGGGATTGAAGAGTGCAGCTTGCAGCTTGCTGCTGCGAGGGCGCCGAGGAAGGAGTAGAAGCGAGTGCCGGGCTGAACCAGGAACCCTGCGGACATTGTTCTTCGCACTCCGCAGAGCTCGGTCAAATCTGGATCCAAGCCACGGACTTGACTTAGCACGTTAGAGACATCTTTACTCTTTGCCCCCTCCCCCTTCTGTTTTTACTGTACTGTAAACCGTATTACTGATGCTGTCGCTGTTGTAGAAGATAAACTGCATCCCATTTGGCACTTTCGCATCTTTTAAGGTTATTGATTGGCACCCCGTTGCCTGCATTTAAAGGAATAGAGCGCTTCTGAGTTTTAAACAAAATCGCCCACTCCGGGCCGAGGCCTGGGAGACCTTGAGCTCCAGCTCTTGGCTCTTCCCGGTGTTAGGCCTTACCAAGCCGCAGGCTGCAGGTCCCAGGGGAATGGGACACTGGCAGACTTTCCATAGCTGCCTTACTTGTTAGGAAAATTTTGGTGACATTGTGTTTTTATATATCCCCTCTGGTATTTTTCTGGGCACCTCCTCAATGCTTAGGAAAAGGCCTGGGCAGAAAACTGGAAGACTATGGCAAATGGCAGAGGGAAGGCTCCTTCCTTCCTCCAGTTGTTTCATTTCTGGACCTCTTATTTTCTTAAAAATAAAACTAATTTTTAATTTTAAAAAAAATGGTGATTGGAGTACAAAGTAAGTCGAAAAGTAAAATACAATTTGGGCTCTATAGGTTTATATACTATCATGTAGATTACCAAGCATTGTCATATACATATACACGTAGAATCGCTGAACTGGAAATTTAAAGATGACAAGACTGGTGCCCCCAGACAAGATGACTCATTCAGGATCATAGGAGGTGCTAGTGGAAGAAATTAATTCATACTGATCAGGAAAATAGACACCTTTGGAAGTGCCTAACGTTTAAGAGGCCTTGATTTTGTAATGAACCAGAGACCAGATTTAAGTAAGATATTGTCCTACATTGGAGGGATTTAGTTTCACTCTAATTTGAAGACAAATCCAGAGCCACCTGCTCAGCCTGACCCAGTTTTCCCTCTCTGCAGTTTCTTACACTGAGACCACTCTCTCCCTCTTGAACTGTACTCTTCCTGGTTTCCCTGACACTTCTATCCCTCCAACGTCTCCAACTCTTCTTTCTCTGCCTTGTTTTGGGGTTTCTCTTCCTCCAAACTGTTTAATGTTCACCCTGTGCTACAACCTATCAGGATCTCTTCTCAATTTTTGGTGACCCACTCCTTGCAGGGTTTCCCCCATTTTCAACTCGAAACCATGGTCTCTGCTTGAGCTCACTTATTTCTTCCTAATGGCCAGCTTCCTTTTCTGTTGCCAGAAGGGTTCTCATGGCCACCTCAAACCCAAACTACCACCTTTCCTGGAAACCAGGTTCTCTTCCTTCCCTTAGATTGTTATTACTCTTGCCACCTGTTCATAGGCACCTCCCATATCAGTTTATTGTCTATCCCAGCCCTTCTCACTGCTTTATTATTCCTCCTCCTCACTCTCAGAGCCTCCTCACTAATATGTCTGTATAACCTCTCTGCTTCCATATCCTCCTCCACCCAGCTGCTTTGCTTCCTAAAGTGTGATGGTGTCACCCTTTAAATGGCTCCCTGCTGCCTACTGGGGAAACTCCAAACTTAAATACGATCTTGACCAAACCCAACTTTCCAGCCTCATCTCCCACTAAAACCCAACAGAACTTCCAGTTTCCCAACAGGAGTTTTGTTAGTCCCAACAAGACTTCTCCCACTACCCCAGAAGTCATTCCCACTTTCCCATTCTGCACATTTGCTCAAGATATCCCCGCTGCCAGTAATGTCTCTTCCCTTGCAACTTGTCAAATTCCTACCCTTCCTTCAAGGACTTACTCCAATGCCACTTCCTCTGAGAAAACCCACCTGGAGGTGTGATGTCTCTCTTCTCAGGCCCCTCTAGCACTTTGGATCTTTCTTGTGACATTTATACCATTCAGCCTAGCATCCCGGTTTTGTTTACACCGGCCTGAGCCATTCTCTCTCTTCCCTGGTTAGATATTCTCTGAAGGTTGGGATTATGCCTCAGCCATCTTTGGAGTCCCAAGTACTTCTCACTGCACTGTGAGGCTTCTGTCTCCCCAAAGGTCAGCTACACCCACGAGCCAAGGGAGAAATAAGCAACAGTATGTCATCGTTGGCTGGTACTTGTGCCATCTCTCACTGTGGGGGTATTTACAGTGTGTTGTTTTTTTTCTGGTGTTCATAGAAATTATTACTAAATTACTTATAATTGCTCTTTTCATACCCTAGTTATACCCTAGGGACCAAATCAGGGCTAAAGGCCTCTGGTTATGCTCCCATGTTTACCAGTGGGCAATGGTAGGAAATCAGAGTACAGAAAATCTACAGCTTCCCAAATGCAGTGACTCATCAGATCACACCACACCACACCACATTAGCCAGTGTGGTCAAGAGCTAGGCTCTCAGGCACACTTCATAAACAAGACTTCCAGGACTCCATAAACTAATGGTGTCCAGGAAGAGAGACACTTCTCCCCCAGCACCTGGCCCGTTGAAATTGGATGGACGGATGGATGGATGGCAGGTAAAAAAATTTATTTGAAACTCCTGTTCAGAGAACTATTGTGACTCCTCTACTTCCTCTACTTGCCTTTAATTTAAAAGTGAAAAATATGAATTAAATTCAATAGATATTATCAAATTCCTGGAGCAGTAGTTTTTCAAAGAGAAACCCTCAAAGTCTCCCAGATCATAATGCACACAATTTTGGAACTGGGAAACAGAAATTGACACTCACTCCCCACATGAATCTCCTTTACAATCAAGTTTGAAAAGTACGCTTTTGGGGTAAGAACTTCCCAGAGTCCTAGCTCTTAGGAGGATGCCTATAGAAATTAAAAAAAAAAAAAAATGACATTGCTGTCCAGCCAGTGTGGCTCAGTGGTTGAGCATCAACCTATGAACCAGGAGGTCACGGTTCCATTTTTAGTCAGGGCACATGCCTGGGCTGTAGGCTCTATTGCCAGTTTGGGGCATGCAGGAGGCAACTGATCAATGATACTCTCTCATCATTAATGTTTCTCTCCCTCTCCCTTCCTCTTTGAAATCAATAAAAATATATATATTTTTTAAGTGACATTGCCTCACCATTATTGCTAGTCATCTCAGCTAATTAAGAGAATTTTGCCATTAAGAAGAAGATTCCAATACACGAGAATTGAATTAGATCTGAGGAACCTCAAGTCATTTGAAGTTATACCCATTTCCATGTTCTTTCTCATACTGGGACATACTTTTACTATTATAACTGAAGCCAATTATGTTCCCTGGACTATAATTAATTGTTTAGAAAGGAAGAAAAGACTAAAACAGCAGTTAGCCTGTTAAGGAGGCATTATTCTCCCCTCCAGTCAAATGACAGGGAATTCTATGTGGCTAAAACAAGTGAAAATTATAAATGATGCTTCATCAAAGTAAAGTGTCCAATAACAGTAAAAAGTTCCATGGAAATCTTTGTGGTCAATCATTCCCTTCAAATAGATTCTTGGACAAAATAAGAGGTAGACAGGGAATGATCAACCTAGAATTGATTGAGTTAAAGTAAGTGCTCCATCTTGAATAGGGGGAAATTTTTTATTCATTTCAACTTTGCTAAATTCTAGAAAGTTAAACCACTAATATTTTACTATTAGTATTTTTTAGAGTAGGTGCAGACAGGGCCAGATCCTTTATAAACAATAACTCATTTGGTGTCCCAGTAACCCCCACAAGAAACAAAGTGAGATTCAGAGAAATTTGCCAAGGGTTTTTCAGCTCTAATCTGGCCAACCAGGAATTCAAGTTTAGTCTGACAATAAAGACAGAATTTTCTCCATTATCCATTATTTCTGAAACTTGCCAGATCAGAAAAATTGCCCCGAGTACTTGTTAAAATGTATAGATTATTTTCTCTCTCCTCTGCAGAAGGCTTCAGAATAGGCAAAACTAGGAAACATCACAGTTCAAGGCCACATTATCACTAACCCACTGTTTTATTCTCTAAGACATACCCTTCTAGAATTTGCTGTAATTATAATACAGTATTCAGCTACTGATCAACGAACCAATCCTTTCCATCTTATTTCTAAGAACGGTGTATTCTGTTAAGGTGAAAGCCTTTAAAGTTACAATCTAGAATTTTGAAAAGTAAATCATATCTCAACATATACAAAGAAAATCAGGTTGGCAATTTGCTTCCAAATAAAGTTGCTTCAAATTTTGTAATTTGGAGAAGTAAAGGGTGTTTGATTTTGTTAAATATTAGGTAAGCTAAAAATATTTATTCCCACTTTATTTACCTCTGACAACTGGGAGGAAAAAACTCCCACTTTTAAACACTGAACAGGTAGCACTGTGGAAGAATCATTATTTAGAAAATTAATGATTTTCTCATAATAGCACCACTCTTTTGCAGATTATCTCTGATAGGTGAGATGGCACATGAAAAACACAATACATTAAATATTAGAGTGTAAACATATTCTCTAGGGGGACAAAAGATGCTCTGACATGTATACAGGACACATTTGCAGAAAATGTCATCCCCCAAATCATTTCATAAAAATATAGCACGAGAATTTTCAAAGTGGATC